CCGCGGGCAGGCGCAGGCGCGTCGACGCGCTGCACATTGGGTGGGCTGCACCCTTGCCAGCCGCGGCAACATGGCAGCCCCGGTCGTGCCACCGCCACTGCCCCGACCGTGGCCCCGCCAAGGCCATGTCTTGCCCGTGGCTGCCGCGCCGCCCCTCGGCCCACCTGCTCCCCAACCCCGCACCTGCAGCTGTTTGTAGAGGCCATAGCGCACGATCAGGTCGTGAGCCATGCGCACCCTGTGCGGCTTCATGGGGTGCGACATGCCGTAGTAGTAGTCGCCGACATCGCTGTCATAGTAGTATGAAACCTGCGGCCATGGCGTGGCGTGACAAGCGTGGCGGCGGGGCGCAATATTGCCGCGCTGCGGCGGGGCACGACAATGTTGAGCAGCAGCAGCCCGGACAGGCGTGGCGCTCCGCAGGGGCCGCAGGGAGGCTAGCCATCAGCTCATGTGCCCAGCGGCTGATTACAAATGCAACAAATCCACTGCGTCTTTCTAACGCGCACCTTGCGCTTGTGGTCCATGTTGCCACCTGTGCGCGCCCTGACCTAGCGTGATCTGGCCGGGGTTTGGATCTAGGCTTCCGTATCAACCGTGTGACTTACACACATGCGTTGCCGCCTCTCGCGCTGGCTAAGCCCGGCTCAGCACCGCAGACCGGCCCTGCTCATGGGGCGTGGGGTCTCAGCAGCCCCGTTGAGCCGCGAAAGATTGTTGATGTTATTTTGTGCGCACCATGTGCCCGCCAGAGGCCTAGATGCCAAGATCAATGTCACTGTAGTTCTGGATGTTGTGGCGGTTGACGCGTATGGTCGAGAGAAGCGAGATGCCGGTGCGCGAGCTCATTATAAACCTGCAGATTGTGTCGGGGGCATTCGCTTGACTCCTTGCCAATGAAATGTGCATGGGTCACTGCTCCCTGGATTGACGGGGACTGGATTTGTCGGCAATGCGCTCCAGGAGCCGCATGCACACTCTGCAAGCTTCCATCACCACAACATGCACAAGCTCGGCTCCATGACTACTGACAAATAGCGTCATGTGTGACAGTGTGCTCCATGAATGACTGAGATGAAAGGGTAAATGAGGATGGCAGCATGTTCCAATGGCGTGACCTGCACTGCAATGCAACTCGCAACGAGGTCAATGTTGATGTGCATGATGCTGATTTGCATGCATGTATGTTTGTCAATGCTGCTCAACTATGCGAGTGAAATATGGCGTAATGGTGTTGACCAGGTCAAGCACGCAAACACGTTCATTGAGGCCGGAACCCATGCAGAACTCAGTATCATAAGCTCAGCCTTTGACAAAGTGGACGCCAAATATGTGGTTTAATCAATGTTGAGTTGGTGACGCTCTTGGTCCAAGTGTGCAGAGACACGCAAACAAGTGTGTGCTGCGCTTGATGACAAGTATCACAAGCAAAGCGTGAAGTGGGGCAGGGAAGTGATACTTGTGGTGAAAGCGCCCTTGATGTTTTCCAGAAATACCATGAAACCTTCAGCCATGGCACTACCCCTGAGTGGGTGAGGCAACTGGCATAGCTGCAGCAGCGCATTCCAATGATCAGAGCGCTGACTGGCCTTCGGCGCCGCTGCGAGGTGGCTGGCGTTCGAGCCACCTGGCCCCTCCTGTACTGCTTGGAATCATGCGCTGCGCTACCCGATTGTCTTTGTGATGATAATGAGTCTGATTGAGATCCCTCAATCTCCCGCCCAAATTCTACCTGCAGATCATCCATCACAACAGCTTCACCTTCTCATGTCCCTCTCAATACTTATTTTCAACGCTTCGAACTGAGAGCATTGAGCACGCCTTTGTCCACCCTTACGCAGAATCCGATGAGCTGACTGCGCTCTTCGCAGGCTCCGGTGCCCTTCGTCGAGCCAGCATCCATGGCAAGCTCCGCTTACTTCATTTGCGGTGCTGCTGCGGGTCTGGCCAGGGGCTACGCATACGCTGTTGAGCAGCTGGTGCCAGGTGGGTTGGTGCAGGTAGCACTTGATGCAACACAAGCAAGGCGCGGAGCGCGTCTACGACTGTAGACCGCAGATTTCACTTGCAACCACCTGCAGATCGTAATGAATCTGTGTTCTGCGTCTGCAATACGCAATCGCTAATACCAACCACCCCTGCGACCGGGCACGTTGGCCTCGTCAGCCGGCAGCCACGCCCCGCCTCCATCTCACCTGTCTTCGTGCGCCATGATCGCATCAACCACAACCTACCAGGCGGCCACAAGCTCACGCGCTTGATAGGCTTTGAAACGACCCAGCAGGTGGGCAGCAACTTGCCGGATGGCAAAATTTGCGCGGAGGCACCTGGAAGGGTGCCAGCCAAGGCATGCAGGCAGATGCAGGCCGCTTGTGCTCTTCGCCCAGTTGCGGCCATGACAGCGTCGGCCTTGGCACGCATCCCACGCCCCCAGGGGCGCGACGACGACGTGATAGCGAGCACCACCCGGGTTGGGAAGGGCAGCTTAGCGGGCGCACTGCGCCACACACCCGACACTTCCGTGGCACCCGGCGGCGCCTCCCCAACAGCGTCGGGGAAGGTGCCCAGAATTAAGGTCCCAGGCAGCCGGCAAGAAGGGCCCGAGCTGGTGCGCTGGGGCCGTCTTTTGCGCTGCAGCCAGGGCCATGAGGGAATTTTGGACCCGCAGGCACTTGGCCGTAGTGGGTGCCAGAGGGAACGCTGAAATGGCGGTCCGTCTGTGTAGCCGTGCTGCTTCGTACTGCGTAGAAAGCCGGGGGTCCTTGCCGACTTCAAGACTGAATGCCCATCCACCCCTGATTCCAGCAGGATGCGCCAGCGGGACCTTCAGGCGCCCGCGACGCGGCCAGCTGGCTGACGGAGATCAACGTGCGGCCGCTCAACGCCCAGTATGAGGCCGGCGGGGCCGCGGCCGGCAGCCGCGCCGGGCGGGGCCGCAGGGGCGACGCGCACGACGCGCTGACCATCGCCACCACAAACCGCTACACGTACGCCCTGGGCCAGGCCGGGGTGCGTTTCTCCAAGCGCGAGGGGCGGTGGGCTGCAGTGGCATGAGCGATGCAATCGCATGCGGCGGTGTGGCGACCGGCCCGCGTACCCATCCATGCCGTGTGCGTGTTGTTGCTGCTGCTGCTGCTGCTGCTGCTGCTGCTGCTGCTGCTGCTGCTGCTGCTGCTGCTGCATGCCAGCCCTGCTATTCACAATGTGCGCTACATGTGTCGCGGGTTGGACTGCATCCGCAACCCCCCTATGCAGGCCGGGGTAGCCGGCAGCCCGCACGGCAGCGCGCCCGTCACGCCGCGCAGCGAGGCGACCAGCGACAGCACCATGGCAGCGCTGCGGCGCAAGAAGCGGCTGTTCAAGGGGCTGCGGCAGAAGGGCGACAAGGCAAACCAGATGGTGCGGTGACGCGACCGCCGCCAGCAGCTGCAGCCGCGGTGCCGCCGCGGCAGGCGCGACGCGCGCCAACCGGGCAGCCAAACCGGGCGTCGGCCAGCAGCAGCTGTTGCGACTGCGGTTGCTTTGCTGCCATTGCCGGCAGCCACTCTGTCGAGGATGTGGCAGCAGACGGGGCACCTCGGCCGGCACAAGGCGCTTTTCAACCCAAGCGCAGCAGGCAAAGCGAGTTAGTGAGCCCATGCTCGCCGTCGGGCGAGGAATCAGACGAGCAGGAGATGCCGGCGCGTCGCCGGCTTTCTGTGTGATTGCTGCATTGGAGTGTTTGTTTAGCCAGCCGAACTGCAATGCCTATGTTTCCGCTGCAGGTGCAGCAGAAACGCATCGCTGCAGGTGCAGCGATGCGTCAACGCCTTGATGAGTGTACACCACGTACATAGCTCCCTCTTGCAATTTGACAACTGCCGCCTGATCGTTATTGTGGCAGCAATGATGTGTTTGAAGCCGGACAAGCACTGAGGTCAGCTGGCGACGACAGCGTGCTGCGCGTTGTGTACGGTTGGTGACGCACTGCTGCCGTGCTCAAATCTAGAAGCCGAAGCTGCAAAACTGCTTTGCAGTGAGGGAGCAGGAGACGGGCAGGAGCTCATGATCAGTGACTGAATTTATGGTGCTCTGCTGGCCGCCCACCCAGCGGAGCGCGTGCGGTGGGCACCATCTCCATTGACCCAGGCCACTACAAACAATGTGGTCGCGTCCAACCGGACGGGTGATAATAATTGTCGATTGTGTATCGTCTCCAACTCTCCTGTCTTTCAAGTTGCGCAATTGTAGATCGTGTTGCCGTTGATTCCACGCCACAACTCAGGATGCAATCCCGCGTGTGTCATTCAGGGCGCACATCAGGCGCGCTGAGTTTTCAGGGTCATTGGCGCACTAGCCAGCCCCCGATGCGGCGAGCGCGCTTCGGTCAGCGCGCTCAGGTCGCGCAAGTGCAGCGCGCGCAGAACCTGCAAGTGCAGAGGCCAGCCATCATTGAAGTGTACCAGGGCTCCATGCCGCTGGTGGGGTTCGAGCAGTTGGCAACGACGCTCCCAGAGGCGCTGCGAGGACCGGTGCAGCTGCACACATTCGTGCTGCTGCTAGACGGCGCCAAAGACGAGGTGCCCGCACCGCGGCCGGCCTGCGCGCGTTCCCATTCACTCCGCTGTTGAGGGCCGACCCATGGGATCCCACCGTACCTGCAGCAATGTACTGCGAATCCAGGCTCGGCCAAGGGCGAAAGGGCTGGCCACGCTTGGCCTGAATGCCCTATTCTCTCCCCGTAATCGCCAAGCGCCTTCGAACCTCGCCTTTGCCCTGTGACCTACCCTTCCTCCCGCCCCCTCCCTGACACATGAACGCACGCATGCGATACTGCCAATACAAGGCCTACTTCCTGGATTTCCTGCCAGAAAACCCCACGGCCCCTGACACCGCCGCCAAGCTACTGTCAGGGCAGTCCGTGAAGGGCGTCGCGCGCTGCCGGCAGCTGCCGGGGCGCGGCCCCTCTGCCACGCGGCTGCCGCTCGGCAGCGAGGCCAAGTGAGCGGCTGAAGATGATTCGGCCTGGACAGCACGCACTGCCCCTGCTTCGGGCTTGTCTTTTGCGTGATTATCATGCAGGCTGTGCCCGCCTCGGGCCCCCTCAAGGCGTCTCTGCCTGCCACATCGAACGACTCGGTGCTCCCACCCCTTTGCACGCCTCGCCGCAGGTTGGTGGGGGAGCTCTCCCGCTGCGACGCCATCGCCGTCGCCACTGCCTTCACTGAGTGGGTGCACCGATCCTTCGCCCCTCTGCAGGCATTGCAGCAGTGCAATAACTACGTTTCCTGGTTATGTGCCGCGCCGTGATAACAGCGCCGCCGCACTGGCCCTACGAATCTGACTCACCACCCATCCTCCGCTTTTGTGCGCAGGGAATGGGCAGCCAAGGACTCGGAGCTGTCGCTCGGCTGGCGCAACTGCCGCCACCACACGGAGGAGCTGGTGGCGGCCCTGCTGGCCGCAGAACAGGCAGCGGCAGCCGAGCAGGCGGCGCAAGCAGGGCGGGATGCACCTTGAGCGGTTGCGCCGCAGCCGGTACAGAGCAGCAAGTACATTTCGTTGATGCCTCACTGTGGTTTTTTAGGGTCTTGCAGGTGTCACTGGTAATGTTCTGCCTTGTTGTTTGGCGCCCAGACGCACGCTGTGCCCGATTTTCCCCGCATGTTTGACCATGGGCCACAATCGGCTTGCACCAAACCAACCCACATGTAACCCGATCAAGTTTCATGTGCGTTACACAGCAGGGCTGCTGCTGCTTAGGCCTCGACCTGCTCCCGCAGGCGGCGGATGGTGCTGCGGACGGTCACCGAGGAAGCGGTGCTGCGGGGTGGACGGGGCGCGAGGGAACGGGCGAGAGGGAGTGAGATATCAGATGAGGGATGCACGGGATTGAGAGGAGGCTGCACTAGCAGCTGCACAGGTACGAGGCTGCAGCAAAACGTCCGCTGGCTGCACACATGCGGGCGGCTGGAGGCGCAACCCCCGTGCCCTGCGGCGCTGCTCACGCCAGGACGTAGGCGCCGCCGGCCACGGTCTTCTTGCAGGCCTTGCAGCCCCAGATGCCAACGGCAACACGCTTCACGGCAAACTGCGGATTGAGAGTGATGGCAGGGGTGGGGATGGATTGAGAGGGCTGTCGGGCGGCAGATACGGGGTCTTGGAACACATATCAAATGTCTGCTGGACAAGATAGCTGCTGCTGCGGTGTCACGAGGCTCCGATCAAGGGCACCTCGGCAGCCTGATCGCGCAGCAGCTGCCCCGCGGCTCCACGCCACGCCACGCTTAGCACAGGCGCAGTGCGACTCCGCAGCCGACAGAACTCGGCACATGCTGCCGTAGCATCCACAGAAAAAATCCACACGAACATGCGGTGTACGGCTCCAGCTGCTGGTGACACGGTGCCAGCTTCAGAGCCGCCGCACTTGCCCATGCTGCTACAGTTGCTGCGCCCTGCCAACCAATCCCCAAGAGCACTGAAATAGACGTCCTTGGGCACGCCTTTACTGAATGCTTGCAGCTTGCGTGCCGCCCTGTCCAGAAGACGTCCTCGCCGCTACTAGCACTGCTGCACACCGCGCGTCGTTCAATCGGCGCACCTTGCCGCAGAAGTTGCAGAAGTACTTGGAGTGCTGGCTGACCTCCATCTTCTTGATCTGCTTGCGCAGGGACGCGCCGTACCGCGTCCCGTACTTGCCGACGATGCCGACCTGATTGGCGGCAGGCGTGCAGGGGAGGGGGGGGGTCGGCACGGCACAGGGGGCGCAATCGGTACCGCTGCGCGCGCACAAGAGGGCGTTGCGCTTGCAGCGCGCTGGGGCCCTCGGCTAGCTGCTGCCAGCATGTTTTGCTTCTGTTGTGTGATTATATCACTCTTATGCTTCTGCAGCAAAGGCTGCTGCTGCTCATGCCATCCAAGGCGCGCTGCCAGCAGCGCCGCCGCCGCCACTGCCCACCTTCTTCGTGCGCTTCGACTGCAGGACACGAGGGAGCGAAACGAGTACGAGCAGGCAACGTAAGGCATAACTCAACAGCGTACGCATAAAGCAAGGAAGGGCACAAGTGGCAGCACACGGCGATGGAGCTTTGCCTGCTGCGTTCGCACCAGGGGCCCCTGAACCCCAGCCGCCCCAAACAACAACGCATATACGACAAACTCATGCTGGTGTCAAACAGGTCCACAACAGCTGGCAGCACTCCCGCTCCACAGGCCCCTCCAGGCCGCCGGCAGCAGCACTCGCCATGGCTGCAGACGACTAGGTAGAAGCACACGGAAGACGCCAAAGGAAAGGATCGTTCAACACGAACACTCGCGCCCTTGTCGCCGCGCGGGTGGCAGCGAGAGGGGCACTCACCTCCCCAGATCACCTCAGCGCTTCCGGACCCAAGTCCCGGGATCTCGTGTGATAATGATTGCGTGTGTCGTTGTGGATCACACATGCTCCCCCTCACCTTTCAGATGGGCACACCAAAACGAGTTCTCGCATGCGTTTTCATTCCAGCCGCTTCTCATTGACGAATTTGCATAGATAAAAACGCGACGGACGCATGACATGTTTGCGGGGGCTGCACCTGGAAGCACGACCAGAGGCACTGCTCATCTATCCCATGGTGCCCAGCCAAGCGTGCAGCAGCACCGAGCTCCTAACCTGATACGCGCTGCATGCGCGCTGGGATGGTGGCGCGGAACAAGCGGCGAGGCGTCCATCCGACATGCTGGCCGTGGTGCGCGCGCTGTGCGCCGCATGGGATTCTTGCGTGCCGCTTGTGCACGTCCGCTTCGGTGTGACGCTCACCAAGGATTTGTACGAACGATCGCGCGCCGCGGTAGCTGATGTGTGCGCCCATGCGCCGCACAGATGTCATCGCCAACTCGCGGAGACGACGGCAGGAGGCCCAAGCCGCCACCGTGGCGGAGGATGCGGAGGACTTGGAGCCGGAGCAGCAGCCCATTGGTGAGGCACTGCCGACCGGCTGGCACGTTGGCGACGCGAAGCAGCGGCTCATAGCAACGGCACACCCCGCCGCCACCGCGGGAAGCTCGGAACGCGGCGCGAGTAGCGGCGGG